CCGTTGGAGGTCCCGCAGACTACTCTTCTGCCGGGGGTCCTGCCAACTCCATGTCTTGTCATGTTGGAGGTCCCGCAGACTACTCTTCTGCCGGGGGTCCTGCCAACCCTATGTCCCGTGCCGTTGGAGGTTCCGCCGACTGCTCTCCTGCTGGGGGTCCTGCCGGCCCTGTGTCCTCTTCCGTGGGGGATCTTGCCGACACCGGCTCCTGCCCGGCCTCCGGAGCTGTCCGGTCTTCGCCCTCGAGACCGGTCCCCTGAGTTCACCCGCTGTGGTCTTCACCCCTCCTCGAACTCTGCCTTGCCCCCGGGCCGTCCGCCCGAGTTCCCCTTTTTGAACTCTGCCTTGCCCCCGGGCCGTCTGCCCGAGACCCCCTTTTTTTAACTCTGCCTTGCCCCCGGGCCGTCCGCCCGAGAACCCAGCCATGGTCTCTGCCTTGCCCCCGGGCCGTCCGCCCGAGACCCGTCCTCCGGAACCCCTCCACCCACCCTGCTGGACTTTGTTGTTTGGGACGTCTGGGATCCGTCCCTTGAGGGGGGGGTTCTGTCACACTCCTAGGCTCATGTCACGTTGGTAGTTTTGTATGTTTAGGTTATGTCACGTTCTATGTCTAGGTTTAGGTGTTTTGCTGTTTTCCCTGTCATGTTTTCCTCCTGTTTATTGTCTGGTCCTTTTCCCTGTGTTTTTTCTCCTGTCGTTAGTTTCCCTGGTGTGTCTAATTGTCTGATTATGTACACCTGTGGCCCCTGTGTTTCCTCCTCCCTCCTCACCTGTGTCTTGTTGTGTGATTAGTCTTTTGTGTATTTAAGTTCTGGGTTTTCTGTCTTTGTCGGTTCGTCTTTTGCCTTGACTAGTTGTGCGGTGAGTGTTCTGTTTTGTCTTTGCTTATATCATAGCCTTGAAATGAAGGAGTTTTTTCAGTTTATATCTGCATTTGGGTCCTGCTTCCTTCACAATCCGTAACACATTCATTCCAATGGCTGGCGTCTATGTCACATGATATTCAAATTTCTCCCTGCAGAATAAAAAAACATGGCCGAACTTATTTTTATTCTCGGTGGAAAATGCCTATTTTATAGTTAGTTTGGCCATTAAAATGCGTTTTGATGTAATTTGATGCTTCTTCTAGGAAGGACAAAGAGGCTATTCTCGAGAGAGCACGAATGGAGGTGGCCGAAATGCCTTGGTTGAGAAGTTCGTTGCCGGATTGGTTACAGCTTTTCACAAGTTGTCCTGAGGACTGGTCCGACGCTTCTAACCCTTTCCTCGGATCCGACTACGGTCCTGTTGGAGGTCCACGGAGTCTCCAAAGAGCCTCTAGGAGACGCAGGGCCAGGATTCCAGACCGTGCTCCAACAGCCATGATCCCGGTGTGGGATTCCCAACCTGGCACCATATACCTCGGTGGGATCCGTCTGAAGACAACCCATGCTTCTGCCCCAGTTCCTGCTCCTGTCCAGGAGTCGTATGCTGGAACTCGTCTGGCTTATGGAGGTCCACGGAGCCTTCAGGCGGCTGCTAAGAGAAGGAGTCGCAAAGCCAAGCTAGCAGCCCGAGCCCCAAGAGCCATGGCTCCTGCTCCAGTACAGGCCCCAGCAGCCATGCCTCCATACTCCATTACCTCGGCCCACGCAGCTTTGCTTCCATACTCCATTACCTGGCTTACACAGCCGGGGTCCAGGCTTCCGCTCCGTGCCCAGCAGCCATGGTTCTTCTACAATTTGAATTTTTCTGAATTGCAAAGTGTGTATGTCTAGTTCATTAAATGTAATTGTGCATGTTTTTTAACAATACTTTATGTATTTGCTGATAACGCAGTTTATGTATATGTTTATAAATATGCATAATATAATAATGGAATTTTACTGACTCACTTGCCAACTCCAAAATGATTGATAATTAGATGTTAAACCACATTCTCAGCTTTTTTTAAACACCTGTTTCCTCAGCAAAGGTTTGTTTTTTTAGCTTTTCTAAACTGTGCAGATTTCGTTGACCCCGGTGAAAGAGCAGCCCAGATTAATTTGAAGATAAAAAATCCATGAGAAGCATCTCACACGGAGCCTCCACACGCACTCGTGGGTGAACCAGAGGTTTCACATGGTTTGGCTACCGCAATACACACTGGTATCAATCCTCTATAACTGAGACACGGAGTAAACAAAGAAAACAATCAAGTGTTTGTAGGAGATGAGAGTGGAGACTAACAACCTCAAAGCCACTGGGGGTTTCGTGGGTGTTGTGAAATATTTGGAAAATCTCCTTAATCAGCGGGGGTGACTCACTCGGGGAGGGGAAGACTTAAAATGCTAAAGAGGGATGGAGGGGAGGACAAACGGTGGGTCTGTGTACAACACAGAGTGCGCTTTGTAGGGCCCGAGGACTCCGTAGCATCATGTGAAGTTGGACACAGAACATGTTGAATAAAATATCCCACCCTCTCCATCAACAAAAAACATTTGCATGTCTCCTACATTCTCAAGTCTTTCAATGTCAGGGAAATAATCACTAAACCTTTGACCCTGATAAGTAAAGTAATGACGTAAGGCGTTGTCATACAATTTGACTGCCTTAGAAGATTCCGTCATGAAGATACTGGATTATTGTACGCAGTCTTTTTCATGTGGCTTTACACAATGAAAATGGGCACATACAAATAAAAGGGGTGAATACAGCATGGGCAACGCTTAGAAAAAGTCAGATAAGACATTACGTCGTAGCTTTACAATACTCTTAACCTTGAGCTACAGCAGTCTTTTATGTCAAAGTGGAAATTACTAGAAATTGATGGTAATACAGGATTAGTAAAGCCAGAATAAGTAGTTTTTCACTGTTCAAATACTTCTCAGAATAGCATAAGACACACATGATTATAAAGATGCCATATTGCTGTACCTGACTAGCTGTGCCCGCCTGCTGGCTGCTTCAAGCTCCATCACTTGGCACTTTTTCCTCACAGCATCTCCTCAGGCTCGGCTGCCCTCTTCCTGTCTACCAAAAGCTCCTGTTGACCAAAACACAGCCAAAACACTCTGCTGCTAATCTCCGCTTCTCTCCTCACAAAGTGTGAACCTTCCTGTGTGTTTCTCACTCTCCGGTCTGACTTGTGGCTGCTGAACTGTTTGTCCGGTGATCTACCTACGCTGGCTGTTAACACTCTTCTGTCCTCTAACAGTGCACTCTCTGTGAGACCCCTTCTCCCCCCCCTTCTCCCTATTCAGTGTCCCTCCCTCTCACCCTGCCTTTGATAGCCTCTCTGTCTTTTGCTGAGTGTGGGTTTGTCACTCAGGAATTTGCAAAAAAAAACAGCTGTTCTCCCATTCTTTCTTCTCTATCCCTTTGCATAAGTTGAATTTCATTTATCAGCTGTTTGGATCCAGCTTCATGATGATGAAAGATTCGGATGCCAGTGTTAAATCAGCAGTCTTGATTAAGGCCTAACCATTCAGAGACCTAATGCTACTGGTTTTGTTTGACTTGCAAACATTAAACTTACATTATACAGCAATGTAAAAACAGAGCAAGAATTAAAATATCTTAGTTGAACTGATCGACTGTAAAATGTCACTTAGCTGCACCAGGTTATTATTGTTACAGGATATTGTTACAGGAATCCTTTTGAATATTATTTTGTTACAATCTCATTCCATCATTGGATTTTCTGTTTCACCGGGTAGGAATTCACTGTTTCTACACCCACCGCCACCACCTTCTTCCCCACGATGAGCCGAGAGAAAGAGACATTCAATAATTAAAAAGTAAAGCACACATTAGTACAAAAATAAAAATACACAACATGGCTAAAAATGAGTAGCACCCATTTCACTAAACTAAGTGACATAGATGGCATTGTGACCTTAAAAGAATATACGTTAGGACATTTATGAAAATAAGTATTTTCTACATTAAAGTGATTATATCGCTGTGCAATTGTTCAATTAACCTACTAAGCACATTATAATGATATAGAGTATAATGTAATCTTAAATAAATATTGTGCAAACTCTTTTTTTGTGTTGTGATTTTCACTTGACACCATTATTGTTATACTGTATGATTTGTAACTGTGTGTTTTTATTAATAATATTAACAAGACAAAGTAACCTTAAGGTTGATGTCATTGTAAAACAGAGGGTTTCAAAAGGAAATGCGGTTGTAATCACTTTATGCCTTGAGAAAAAAAGTATAATGTATAATAGGTTTACATGTAATTTGACATGTTGATATGAATGATAGGCAATGCTCAAGTTTACCACCCTGCAGACATTCTAAACTAAGTTAAAGAATCTTTGACACATTTTGATCTGTGTAAAATACCCATATATAAAATCTTAATGTGAAGAAAGTAATGGAGTATTTTATTATAAAACATATTCACTATGTCCTCAAATAAGTCAGTCTGGACTGGGTTCAGGTTTCCTGATTATGTAAAAGCTTTTTCCCATGTAGTACAGTAGGCCCCTTTTCAAGTTTTCTGCTGCACTGAGTCAGCGTCTCGTAGAGTTTCTTTGATGCTTCACTAATCCAACTGCACGGAAACAAGTGTACGATGCTTTAAGATGAGAAGAGGGCGAGCATTTCCAGTCATGAATGATATCAAAAACCCAGACAGGGAGGAAAGCTCTCAAAGGAAAAAAGAAAAGGGGTGCTCAGTCAGCAGCGGGGCACTACAGATGCCTCAGGAGAGCTGGCATTAAAGCTGTACAAGAGGAAGGTATGAAAGGCATGTTGAGACTCATGATAAGAACAAAAAG